ACATCGCGCGAATTATATAATATATGTATTATTCTTATATATCTTATATGTATTATTCATGCAAAAGGGTCTGCTAGATAGGTAGGTAGGTTGAGATGGGTAGGTAGTTTGGTATGTAGAAGAATTTCGAGTTATTGCAAGAGCCGGCGCGGTTATGAATAATTATTCGTTATTCCATGCGTCATAATCTTTGTCTCACGCTTGTCGGAGATTTCCTCCATTGTATTCGGAAAGCCGAGGAGAGTTAAGTGATTTGCGACACGACGCGCAATATTTTTCACGCGGGCTAATAAGAAAAAATAACGATTAAAATAAGCATAACAGGTGCTGGAATTGATCCGTGTAATGGTGCACGTGTAAGACTCGTTTTCTCGACATCTTATTTTGGTCACTCGCATAATTACACCATACTGAGATAATATAACACCAGATTTGCACGATATCTCGTTGTAATTATAACAATCATATTCGCCATTATTTTTTCAAAGATACTATAGCCGCCACTTGTGTGTGCTAAACGGAAGTGACGAAATCGATTCCGATAAAATCGTCTTTGTCGTAACCAATACGTACGTAAGGACTTTTCCGATACGAATAAAATGTGGATTTTTATAAATTCACACATGCGATCAGATAATCCAACTATCCACCTTTCGTGCCAAATCTTTTACGATAATCGATTGCCAAAACAATCATGAAATCTTTCTGTATCCAATTGCTATAATTTCATGACGAAATTTTATGACGCTCGATTAATTTTTTGATATTTTAAACACATCTAGCTTAATAAAAGACTATTTTTATACACAAAATTTTTATAAAATTTATTTTTATTAATCATGACTGCCACTAGTTTTGCTGCATTTATCCCCTTTCCAGCTAAATATAGAGCAATTTGTTGCAAAAACGCATTTCTGAAATTTGTTTACGGCTGTAAATTAATAAAAAAAGATCATAAATTACTGAAGAGAGCTCTATTCGGTCAAGTCGGGTTTTGATACTTAATAATTTCTGTGTATAATAAACTGTTGCAATTTCCAACTCAAGCAAACTTCGCGCTGATTATTAATAAAAAAAGAATCAAATAAGATAATATTAAGCCGAACAATATTCTTTAGATCTCCATTGAGAACTATCAAATTGAATTTAAAAATCGAAAAAATTTGCATTAATGCACACACATTGATAAAAAATTCAGTCAATTTATTAATACAATAAATATTATAATTGCTTCGATTATTTGAAACAAAATTTTATTATATCCCGGTCAAAGATTTTAATTACAAATGCTATTGTTTATTGAATTGATGTAATTATTATCTTAAATATATTTAATTGACATAATTATTAGAATATCAATTAAAAATGGAATGCGATTAGTCGAAGTCATAATTTCCTGTTTTTAAAAGTTTTTCATTTTTAGTAATTATTTAGAAAATGACTCTGTGATTAATCACGAAAGAGTGGATAAAATTAAAGAACTATACTCACAAGGATGTTCATGATGATTTTTTAAGTATTCCAAAGGACAATTATTATTAGCGATATTTGTTGCGCACTTGCGTGAACAATCACACTATGCGAGACACACTCAGACCTTCCAAAAAGTCACGTACGAAACTCTTGAGCTAACTGCAGTTAGAAACACGAGCTTAGCTGGTCACAGTGAGGCTTTATAGTCACCGAGACGCTCTGCTTGTGCCCTCTTTTTGCCCCGCCATTTTCCGGAGGTTGAAGGGGAGAATGAATCTTGAATGTTACTCGCGTAATCTGCTAACTAAGCAAAGGGTAGTGGATGATGGTCGGGGCTTTCTAGTTAGACGATAGGTAGGTGGTAATTGACGGTCCCTCTCGAGTGCAATTTGTGTCTCGTATCTTTCGTACGTCCGCGTGAGCATCTACGCCCACGTATTGCGATTCTTTGCAGATATGTGCACAAGCTTATTAGATTACACATATGCACGTGCTATATTTACGGATTAGATACAGTAGGCAGAAACTAGGAAACGCGAAATTCAAAATAACGCAAAATAATTGTTTTAAAAATTGCATGCTAATGTAGAATGAGATAATACTTGTCTACTCGAATATTTATATTAACTTATTATATATAGTAATCGCAATACCACACACCCGGAAGAAGATTCCTTTGATTCAAAGAAATGTTCCTTTGCTACACGGTTAAAGAAAAAAATTTCTTTGAATCGAACGTATACTTTTATTACATTAGGTTATGTTCAGATTTCCACCCAAATCAGTGCCATTCGAATCAGATATCTTGATTCATTTCAACTATATTGGTTACCGAACGTTAAACAAAGTTGACATGACACCCAGGGAGCACTTTCTTTACGAAAAGAACATTCAATTTCGGGAATGTAAAAATATTGGCGTAAATTCGGATCGTTAATTGATGATCAATACCGAAATGAGGGTAAATCTGAAAAAGAAGTTATTAAATTATTTATAAAACTAATTAATCCAGTTTTATTGCTAAAATACATATTATTGATAATTATATTTCGAAATACATATGACAAAATTATAATTAAAAAAAACGCTTTCTCTTGATTTCAGGAATTAATTTTATGATGTTTCCAAGCGGTCACCCATCTTTACTGTATCCCCCTATATATAGCGTGCTTGACTTCTGCGATCGTATAAGAAGTAACAAATCGGTTTTAAATTTTCGAAAATATCGGTTTTAGAGATGATCCACATAAAAGAAACAACGATACGTTTAAACAAACAAAGCGATACCGAATTATTCTCAGATTTATATACCGATCCTTGACTTGTTATTTCATTCCTGATATCAATCCTCCTTCCATTTCTTTTTTTACCCTTTCTATAAAAAACTAATCCATCCCCCCTTTGTTCTTTCTCTTTATGGGTTTACAGCAGTCATTTTCATTTGAAATGTATTTGTCAAATTGTCTACTCGCTTTATTTCTTTGTCAACGGTAACGGTTTGCCTGTTTCCTACTCAGGCTCAGGTATGCGTTTAATTATTAATATTGTAAAATTTTATTTATTTAAGAACTTTTATATTATTGCAATATTGATTTTTATAATTAGACATTAAATAAATGATTCAATTAAGGAGAGCCGGAAGAGTAAAATGAATACGTAGCTCGTTCATACTAATCATAAAAATCTGATTTATTAATATAAAGTATTATGTAGTATGTACACTGAAGATGACTCGATGTAAGTCGAAACGTTTATAAATAATTGTGATTTAAATGAAGAATATATCGTAAAATGTTAAATTTATAGCACGACAATCTTGCTTGGCTCGTAGTCCTTTTTTAATTAGTGTTTTGTTTTTAAAATCTTTGTATTAAAAAAAGTTTATCAAAGAAGCTTGCATCTTCTATTTTGCAAAATAATGGCAAATCGTTAGCAAATTTATTAAGGTAAATGTCTCAATGACCGTTTAAACGTAGACTATTACAATTAAATAATATTATATATTTATTAACTATAAGCCAGAAAAAGACAATGACATAATGATTTATTTGTCATCGGTCACAATTTAAAGCTTATGTATGATCGACACTAAAATAACTTTGGGTGTCGATACCAAAAGTCACATCTAACTACAGCATTCTATAAATAATTGTCAACTTCATGTTTGAAGACAGCGCCATATTTATGTTCACTCATTCGATAATAACGTTAGTGTTTTCACATAAATTTATACGATATTCAGACAAAACGCATACATACGCATGTGTATTAAAATAAGGACAGCTCAAAATCAGGTTCATCTCTTTCTATCATATTAAATCAGTAGTCTAGTTATAAAAGTCTGTGCACCCCGATACTTAATTAAGAGCCTCTTCCATCAACTTCTGGTTCAATTAATCAATGATTAACTCGCAGAAGTGCCAACAACATAGTTTAACGTATCAGACCGTCTCCTCTCTTTTCCTTTTCTGAGACAAACTGTGTAGTTCTCACGTTGACAATCATGGTGATTGAGTTAACTATCGATTATTGTAGTTGGTGAAAGAGACCCTAAGAAATCGTTTTGTACGTACATAACCAAAATTTTGTTGATATGTGATTAATAAAAATGTTCTTTTTTATTTAAAAATTGTGTTGTCCTAATCAAAATTTGGTTAGAACAATAAAGTTTTTGTTTTTTAAACCAAATTTCTCGTCGTTCTAAGGATAACTAAATTTCAAAAAAGCGAATAATTAGAGCATTGGGATATATCTTGAGATATTAAATAAATAAAGAAAAAACAGGCAATTAAGAGCCTTAATTACGCGGTAATTGGCGCGATTATCTTATAAACATATATTTCAATCTTATATAAATATAAAAACTGAACATTTCGACTCAA